GAGCCTCAGTCCTGGTAGTTGTTTTCTTGGCTGTGATTTCTTACAGCAAATAGTACTTCCAGTTCTTCCTTAAGCGTTTCTGCACTGCTCTGCTTGTGATAGGCCTAGATAAATGCTAGATTGTAACACTGATGACAACAGCCAGCTATTGTACTCTGCTCTCCAGGATGAATGGCTGCTGTGTTCTGTAATTACCAGGGGAAAGGAGGACACTCGAGTCCTCAAAAGTCAGCCGTTCTCTGCTTTCTTTTCCATGCTCTTCCTGGGTAACACCATCCAGGCTGTGGAGGGAGCTAGTGTTGTCACTTCATGCAGAGCAGTGTGATCCAGGTTTGTTCTGCTCTGCTCGATAAGTCTAGCAGAGACCTTGGTGTAATCAAGGAAGCTTGTGTTTTGTTATTTTTTGGAGTGTGGTGGCTCACAAGCTGTGTGTAATGTGCCAATAAGAAAACTATCTTGTAATTTTGGCTGTGGCCTAGACCTGAGCAAATGCTCTTGTCTGCGTGATTCTGTCTCTGTGTTTTCCACATCAATGTGTGGTTTCATCTGGAGTTGAGGAAGCCTAGAGTAGTCTATGATAGACAGGCACAGGACAGCCTTTTGCTGCTCTTAAAGCATGAGATGTGATCTTGCAAGAGTTCTGCATCAGGACAGTTGAAGTGAGCATCAAGACCTCGAGCTTATTATCTTCAATGGATGTTGCTAGTCAGAATATCTTCAGCACCTCTGTGAAACAGCGTGACAGAGCTCTCTTCCCAGAAGCAGTCAAGGTGTTGGGTGCGTGCATTCATCTTAAATCTTAGGCATTCATTTGTACTTTCAGCTGAAAAAGGTATTGAGTGTGGTACAAGGGGAGGAGGGAAATGGTCTTGGGAGCATTCACAAAAGCAATTTAATAGCTGGGAATTTGGGTTTCTCCATCCTAGTGTTCTGTTTTTTCTTAGCTGTTATCTGTGCAAAAACTAATGGGCATGCAGATGGCACAATGGACGCCTCGCACAGACCAAAAATGAATATTTCATTGTGCCTCCCAAAAGATAATGTATAGCTTGCTAAGAAACTTTAGAACTTTTTTCTTTTTTTCTCCAGTAAGTAGCTCAGCTCCTCTAGACTTCAGTGTCCAAGCAGTCATCTAATTGAAGGAGGGCTTCACACTCTGCAGCTGGCAGCCTTAAGTAATCTGCCTCTGCTCACCAGTCTGGGATGGTCAAGATGAGCTGCGGATCTTATTCTAAAGCATTGCTTTGCTGTTGGAGGTATTTGACCTTAGTGCTTAGGTTTTTATCGTAGTTATTGCAGGCTTTGGCAACCTAGCATGTAACTCAGAGGTAAAAAAAAAAAGGTTTGTGGTGGTGGGTGGGTTGTTTGTGTGTGGTATTTTGTTAATATATATATGTATAATTTTTTTTTTAGCATTCCATGTTAATGGTGAGATGTCCATACTGGTAACAGTGTTCCTGAGCTATGTTTGCTCTCTCAGAAGATGCTTTTGCTTCTATTTTCAGCAATTAAAGGTTGATCCTCTCTAGGTAATTTGATTCATAAGTGCTTCATTGAGTTTTGACTGATTTCATTCTGTAAGTTGAAGAGAAGGAGGGAAAAAGTAAAGAAAGCTTCTTAATAAACATAGACTATGATGTCTGGATTTACATCCTCTGCAACAAAAGACGAAGAAAAAAAAACACAGCTCAGGGGTCTCTGAAGCAATTAAATGAGGAAAACATTTCCGTTTATATGGCTTATATGACACAGCCAAAAATGTTAGAGATCTGGCATTTATTTCTTGGACAGCGTGCTATTACAAGACAGACTGATGCAGTTGCTGGTAAGACGGTCAAACTGTTTGGGCTTAAAATTTCCATACAGTGTCTGCTCAGTGCTGAATTATTTTTAGAAAACCTCAAGAAAAATGTTTAAATCACTTTAAGGGAATTAAAATTTGCTCCCATGGAAGCGTATGTATGTATGGTGAGGGGAAGAGCGTTAACAGCTTAGCGCTTCTGTGTTCTGGGGAAATAAAAAATTTGTTGGGCAGTATGCATCTTACTCGTTCAGTTAAAAACTTCAGATTTTTCTCATTCTTCAAGGAACTAAAAATCATACTGTGTGCATACTTAGAATAAATGTAGCTTGGAAACTGCGTTCTTGGAAGATAGCAGCTGTGTGAAACGTCGAGCTTCTGGCCCCCTGAGACACTAAAAGGATTTCTCCGACTACGTACAGGATATAAAAAGTGCTGCTTCGGTATAGGATGCAAGAAGTGAAAACAAGGATATCCTCTTTTTCTTTTTTAAACTGTTCAAAGGCAATATTGAGGGGTTACAAGTTTGCCTTGCTTACAATAGGTGATTAGAAACCATCTTGGTCTTGCCTCTGAATTAGAGGTGTTTTTGACATGCATTATGTTTCGATGGCTGGTGCTCCATTGCAAGACTGTTTGTCAATTGTAGATCTTCGTTTCCAAAATGCATATGTTCTCTCCCTGTTTTTTCATCTTCACTTGAGTGTTCAGCAAAGGCTTTGAGGTGTAATCAGTTTCCTTGGATGAAAAGCCTGCAGTACTGCGCCTTGCCCATATTGGAATCTCATTAACTGAGATGCATATTTGGGGGTTAGGAAATGACTTGCACTACTTGGACGCTTCAAACAATGTGTCCGAGTGACAAACTCTTCCTCCTGCTGTAGCTGTTGGGCTCCGTGGAGTGAGTAATGGATGCTCCAGCCTAAAACAGGAGGAGTCCCTGTGTGATTTCTGGCCAAATACTTAATGCAGTCTTACAAAACGAGTGAGCTTGATACATGCTTATTGTGAGAGAGGTTCCCCTGGTACTTATAATCAGAAGACTGGAATTTAAGCCTAGTTTTCTGTACCACAAAATAAAAAAGTCAGTGTAGGCTTCAGCTAAATAAATGTCAAACAAGATTTTTTTCCCTTAAGTTAGGCTATTTCATTTAGGGTATTCGTGGGTTTGTATTGCTGCTGGAGTTTCGAATTGAAACTATATTTATATAGTTATATTTATTACAATTGAAATATGTTTTTAAAATCTCCTCTTGAGCTTTTAGCCTGTGGAAGTGACTTGAGATCTTAGGGGAAGGGGAGGTGTCTTGCTACGTCAAATGTTTCAAACAAATTTAATAATTTGAGCCCAGAGCAGTTGATTCCAGCCCTCTATAAGACAGGCGGTCCTGCGGAAGGTGATGGGTCATTTTTCTGTTTTGTTTATTGTGTGGTACTCAGTGGAGCTTCCAGAAGTAATTTTCTTTATACACAAACCTGTAAAAATACTAGCGTATTAACCACAGAGTGAGCGGATTAGACTTCCGAATGTAACTGCGCGCTCCCTGGCACACAAAATGAGCAGATTACATGGTTCTGTTTTTGTTAAATAATTGTGTGGTTTCTTTTCAGAGGTAGCTTGTACAATTTAGAAAATTGAATGGGATTGCTTTGAGAAATTGAGTCATGAAATCATGGAAAAGAGAGGTATGCAGGGAAAATCACTCCTTTCAGCTTCTCCGCAGCTCTTCGGTATGAAAAGAATCGTATTTGATGTCGACTGGAATTTTTGCAGTGCGTGCTCGTGCTCGGTTAGCAGCGTACAGAATAATGGGGAGTTCTAGTAATTGGTACCTTTCCTATTTAGGCTTACAAAGACTGATGACAGGTTTTTAAATTTAATTGCAAAGCCCTGTCTGAATGTTCTTAAAGAACTCTTTAGTACTGCAAGCTGCTGGGATAGTGGTTTCTCTCGTACAAGATGAAGTTTTGCCAACAATGACGCATTGACTGCTATGCAGAGAGTCCTAAAGATCGTATTTTATGAGCGGGGTGAGAGAAACTTGGATGGGTCTCAGCAAAATCTTCAGCAGGGAGTGTAGAAAAACTGTGTGAGCTCCTCCTAATTTTCTCCCTGTTGCTAGATCATTTTTTTTCCTGTGTCAAATAGTAGCTCCAGCTTTTGGTATGACATCATATGAAGACCAGATTTTATAGAATTTGCAAAGATAACTAAGCCAATATTGGGCAAATTCTTAAGCCATTTCGTGGTTTATCATCTCTTGCTTACTGGGAAGGCTGCTAACACTGAAAATGAAGAAATACAGTGAGCTGACCAGGCTTGGGGAGTTAATAGCATAACTTTTTTAGGCCTGAAAATGTGGCTTGAATAGGTGGATGTAATTGTAAAGTGGAAGAGGAATGGCAAGTATACTTTACTTAGTCACAGATGGAAGAAATGTTGAAAATATGACCACTCTGGAGCTTGCTTTTAGCTCCAAGCAAACTCTGCTTTTGTCCTAAAAGAAAGTACCTTAAGTCCTCATTTCTAGAACTTTGACCTTGTTTCGTAGGGCAGAGGAGCACTGTGGGAGTGGAAGGCTGCAGTTTGCTAGTCTTCATTTCTACAAGTCGATTCTCAAACACTGGCTAAAAACAGCTTCCCCTGCTTCCAGCCATGGAGAGTACATAGGCCTTATGCAACGAAGCTTCTCTCTCCTCCTTTCATTTTATTTTTATTTTCTATATCCCTCTTCATTCTGTATTCAGCCCCGGCATCGGTTGCTGGAACTGGCTGTTTCATCTTGACAAAGGATTGCTCGAAGCAGGTGAGGAGAGGTGGGAGAGACCTTTTCTTGCTATGAATTATTCAACAGTGGGTCTCTAGCTGACACTTCTAATATTAACTTTTAATAGAGGCTTCTGTCCTCTGGTAATCCATCTGGATTGCTTGATTGGGTGACAAATTTTTTTTCATGTAAGTCATGAAATCACTTAGTAGGAAACCTGCAGCCCTTTGTAGGAGGCTTTGGTCTGAATGTCACCTACTTGCTCTTAAAGATTTTCATAACCATTGCACGGGCTGCTGGCACGTGGGAGGCAGACCTAGAGTGGTCACCCGGCATCTAAAGGCACAACATGAAGTAAGTATGAGTGGTATTTAGCACTCTGGGGAGCGCTGCCCCTCTTACTGGCTTTCTGTGCGGGGCCAGGATGTTTTTCTGGCAAATAGGAGGAGATGTGTCTCTGTGCCCGTGTGTGTTTGCACTCCTGTCACGGGCGAGAGCACATGTATGGGCATGGCAGAGCTGAAGGAGAAGAAACAAGCTCCTTAAAAATGCTTTCACCCCTCTGGGAACTTGTGACTGGTATGTCTGCCGTGTCTCGTAACGCAGATTTTAGCTGAAGAAAACCTTAATAGACCATATATAAAGGCAAGCTGGGATTGAGGTAACGCAGCTGACTTGTATGGCTTGCTTGCATTTAAACGGGCATCATTTGACTTCATCTGCTGCAAACAGCAAATGTCTGTTTGAGAAGTAGCAGGAGTTGAAACCCTGATCTCTGTTTAAGGTGATCATTGTTTTTTTAATGCACACAACGTTGTACTGAGAGCAGATGGGGAAAACAAAGGTTGACAAGACTTAGGGTAACTTCTGGCGCTTCTCTCGTAGCAGCTGGGACTCTAAAAAAGCAGGAAAGCTGCTACGAAGGGTATGGAAGAGAGCAGACAGGAAAGATGAAAGGGAATGGACATAAGCATGAAAATTCTTGCCACCTCTCCCCCCTTCCTCCAGTTGCACTAAATGTACGTGATTCCCATAGCACAAGGGCCACACACTTCAAAACCAACTGTAAATATTTAGCTTGTTGTTTGTCCCAAGTTGCAGCGTTTTGCTTGACAGGCTTTCCTCCTCTTATTTTAGAGACAACAAAAACAGTTGGTACTTATTTTCAACTTTGTAATTTAAAGAGGGAAGAAGTCCAGTCTACAGCATTTTAAATATTGTGCATAATATCCCTTTTAAGCATTTTTTTTGCCCGCTGCCAACAGAAGAGTCTAATGCTGATGAGGAGAGCCAACCATGGAGACTAGTTTAAAATGGACCAGCCAAAGTCTGCAGCTGAAGGGACGGCCTCCTGCTATTTCTGTCAGCAGACACATCATTGTTGCACTCTGTCAGGGAAGCTCCTATAGTCTGAGCCACATCAAAGCTGTAAATCAGCTGGTAAAAGGTTCAGAGCTACATCAGTGCTGCAAGCCTTGTCAACCCAGTCATATGCAAAACAATTGCCCTCTGAATGTGTGTTAGGAAGAGTGAATTGGAGTGCTATCTTTGAAGGGCTAAACGCCTCTTCTCAATAATAGCATATTTTACATCTTAAAAAGACAACAAAACCTTCATTTGAGATGTTCAGTGTTTGTTTAGAGGGAGGCTTTGCCGCTTTGTTTTTTAGTCCCCTGTTTCTCCACTGCAAAGGAATTACAGAGGTGCAAGAACTACATATACAGACTTGTGTGTTAAATTGTCACCAGAAAGAAACTTGCTGTCATGGAGTGCCGAAATGCTCAGGTTTCCTCCAGTTATTATATAAGTGGCACTAAAAATACTGTTGCAGTCAGCACTTGGAAAACTAAAAGGAAAACTAATACTAATTTTTGGCTTTGATGTGTGTGTTCCGTCGTTGTCCACCTCCTGTAGGTAGTGTAGGGGCTCTGGGCACAGATCAGGCCTGTACTGTCAAGGGGATAGCTTGTGGAGCTGATACTTTATTTGTAAAACAGGTTAGAGATGCAATGACAGATGAGGCTGGGACTGCAGATGATAGAGTGGTTTTGTAGTTAATCACATAGGAACGAATTCTGCTATGTACTTACTTTCTGTTAAGACACTTACCTGATTCACTCGAACCACTTTTTTAAATTATTTGTTTTTGCAGATGGACACTTGTTTGTTTCCTGCTTTCCAGATCTTTCTTCTTAATTGGATGCACTCTAGCAAGTTAAAATATCAATTCTTATGACAGTGGGAGTAGGAAAACTTTGCTGTCTGAAGGAAGGAGCTGAGAAACGAGAGATGAGAACCTACTTCTACTGCTGACTCACTGTGGCCTAAGGCAAGGCTGTCTCTCATCTTAACCATCTGCAGGATGATGATGATGGTGCTTGTCTCGTGGTGGTAATTGCAAGCATGTCAGAGTTAATGTGGTGTTGGAGAAAGTAACTGTTCGGTGCATCTGCGGAGTAAGTAAGGCAGAGGCTGCTATCTGGAAGGAGATAAAATAATTTTGTCACATTTCCAGAGTAAGACCTCCCTTTTCTGAAGTTAGTGCTGTACACAGGTAAGCTCCCTCCTGTAGTGGTGTGAATGCTCTTTTAGAGGCAGAGTGGAACAATTTTTCCGTGCATCCTTTCTTTTCCAGTCTCTCCCTCATGTGCTTGCATTAAGTTTTAGCTGATATTTCTAAGGGTTTTGAAGGCCTGGCAATGCAGCCTCCATGTGTTAACTACTACTCAGCATGGCGTGTGATTTTAATTTGAGTGTTCATGGCATTATTTACAAGTCTAGTGGCTTCTGTTGATACTTAGCAAAGTTTGTGGTGGTCTCTCATTGAGCAGCACTTAACAAAGCTGAAGAACAGGAGATGACAGCTATGATCCCTGTGAGAGGAAGGAACTGTATGCCGCATGCAGCGCGTAGTGAGAGCCGTGCTGTTTCTGCGTATACCAAGTCTGCCAGACATCTAGGTAGTAGGAAACTTTTCTTCCTTGATATCGAGAGAGTTGCTCTAAGAACAACTTCTGACTGCTGCTTTGATGATCTTCATCATACTGCTCTGACCAGAAGTTGAATGTTTTCAGAGCTGTCCTCAGGAAACATGACTGATGGCAGATGGTAGGCCACACCAGGTTTGTGGTGCGTTTCTAATCTCAAACCAACTTCCACATCCTAAAAATGACAACTGACTTGTTCCAAGATCTCATCATCATCAACTTCAGGAAGTTGTAGTTGCTGGGAAGAGGCCTTGTTTTCTGAGAAAGGTGGGCAGCTCTCTAACGTAACGTAGTGGATGAAAAGTGTGAAATGGTGTGTTTGCTTCCCCGCTGCTATGGGTTTCTCAGAATACGTTCAGAGTGTGACCGAAGTCAGGGGATGTAAAAATAGTAAGTACCAACTAGATTTGTTGTTGTCTGACAATGTGATGGTTCTGACATCCACGATGATCCAAGTTTGTCATGTTCTTCACAGGAGGCCTTCTGGGGAAGGGGTGGCTGCAGGGGAGAAGTAAGCTGCTTGGGACAGGCTTGCACTGTGTGTGTACAAGGGCCTTGTGTGTTTTTTTTCTGTTTGTGGTGTAAGTTTTCTGCCCATATTTAGATATCACCTAGCCTAGTGGGTTCCAGTGCTATGACTAGGATTCCAAGGTGTTACAAAGAGAAATAAACGCACAGAAACACTCGAAGCAGATGGCTTAGATGAGAACTGTTGGGAACAGAGGAGGCATCAGCAATGTGGTAAGAGTAGTGAAATATCTAAAATTTCTTGCTAGTGTGTGTTGTTTTTTTTTTTTTTTTCTTTGCTGAAGAGATCAGAAGGGTTCTGAGTTGTTGGTTTGCAATTATTTAAAGTTACTTAGCTCTATGGGATTCTGACTATAGAAACTGCAGCCTCCAAAACCCTATTGTCATTTTGTACACGATCACAGCAGTTCTCATAAAACGGGCCATCTATGTAAAGAAAATTAGTGGCTCGGTGGAGTTTAGTCTCTGTGGCAGGGGGTATTGTTTTTCGGCTTCACAAAACCTAATGGAAAGGTATGAGACTTGCCTTGAGCTGTTTGGGGTTTCTTTTAGGCTCCTGGCATTCTTGCATGCTCTTAACCTAAAACACACATGATAGAAAAGCACTGAGGAAGAGAGAAGGAATGTAAATTCTGTTACAGAAATGGAAGGCAATGTGCTGACTTATAATATAAATAATTTTTACCTGGAATATTCCATGACTCCTACGGCAGTTTTGGTACTAGTTGTAAATCGTATGGGTTACCTGGTTTTTCTGCTCTTGTTCTCTGGTTGCTAATTCTGTTTTTCATTTTCTGCTCTGGGTTCTCAGAAAATGAAGCTTGTGAGACCCTGCTTTTCCACAGTGTCCTTCACTCAGAAAATAAAGGGAAAAAATGCTTTGCTGATAACTGGAAGGCGCCCGGTTCTTTCTTGCATCAAGCCAATGTGATATGAAAGCAGAGGGGCTACTGCTATCTTCTGCTTGCTGGAACAAGAAACAGAAATGGTGCTGGATGCTGCTTAGATAAGAAGGTTGATAAGGAGATTAAGTCTTCTAAATGCTAACAACATACCTGTGTGCGTTATCTTGTCCAAAAAGATTTACATTCCCAAAAATGAAAGGGGAAATGCTAGAAGTTGTGGTATCAGCTTTTTATTTAAGTGGAGTATTAAGTTCAAATCTGATGGGGGGGGGGAGGGTGAATTGAAATGCAAAATCATAATCAGCCATACAGGTAGGGCAGATACCACAGCTTGTTTCCAAATTTCAGAGTGACCTCCTGGATTGCTTCCTTTCAGTTATTTTAAGGGATATCTGGGTACTGTTGCCATCACAGTTTGCAATGGTGTAGGTTCCTGAAAGTAAGCATTCAGAGGTATGGTAATCCAGATGTGCTTTGCGAATAAAGTTGTTAGAGCCAAATTGATGTGTTTGGGATGTTAGGCATTGTGTACCTGGGAAAATGCATGTCTCCATACAGTAAATCTATTTAGCGTGTGTTAAAAATCATTGTAACAACCTAAACTGTTGCTTTGCTTGGTAATGACTTTTAGGTTGAGATGTTTTCTTGGCAGCCCAGCCTTTGAGGATCTGCAGAGTGCCTGGACTTCAATACTGCATTTGCATTGACGTGACTTCACATCTTTTCAGCTCCCTGCTGATAAGCAAGGTTCTTTGTCTTGACACTGCAACAACAAGTGATCAACTATAAGCTACAAAGAATTTACAATGATCTAGTCCAGCTTCTTGTGTAAGCTGTAGTACGCATTTAAATGATGTTTTTCTTTTAAAGACTTTTTTCTTTTAGAAAAGTTCCTAATATCCACTCAAAATGACAGTGCTTGTATATGTGGAGAAATGCACCTCTATCCTCTGTGAGATTAATAAAGTTACTTTCAGTAATTTTGTTATTAAAAAGCAAGTATTTTGTTTTGTAGTCTAAATATGCATAGTTTCAACTTCTGTTATTTTATATTGGTACATATTTGCTGAAGTTGAAGCGAGTTCTTGAATTTTTCATCCACGATGGAGAAAACTTGAAGACTAAATAGCCCCTTTTACCTTTTAATGGACCTAAATAAGGCAAACATACCGAATTTAAGTTAAAGGTACATCTTCAGTCTTCTTGCTTCTGCACCTTTTCATGAATCAGATCTCGTTTCAGTCTATGAGCTGTGGATTCCAGAACTGGCTGTGGTATTTCAGTAGCAGTTGCACCAGTAATACAACACTTTTAATCCTATTTGTATTGTCTATTTATATTCTCAAGGATAAAGTCAGCCCCTTTGACCTAGCAGCACAGAGCTGTTCTGATTCAGGTGGGAAAACAAGCCAGACTCGGGTGGCCAAAATTGTTATACAGGGATGTGAGAGCCCTGCATGTCTGACCTGTTGTCATGACCTCTGTGTGTCCCTGAGGTTTGCTACTGCAAGTATGTTCTGCGCTAGTTTTTCCACAGCTGGATGGAAGTCCAGGTCTTTTTGAATTGAAAAGCTTCAAAGCAACTCGTTTATGGGCTGATGGCTGGCCATCCTTCATTAGGCAAAAAGATCTGAACTTCTTCTAGATCTTTTAATGGTTTTCTGGAAGCCAGGGTCTGTTACTTTTTTGCAGAATTATATATTTTTTTAGCTGTACTGGTAAACTTACCCCTAAAAAATCACCTCTTTTGTTTGTTTCCTCCCCCTTCATCCATTACCTCAACCCTCCGTAGGCACCACATCTCTCCCTTTAGCTGGACTCCCCTCAGAATTATCTTTTTTTTGACTATTCCTGTAAATTTATCCCTCTAGAAATGCTGATATTTTGAATCCATTTTGATTAAAAAACTGTTGATTTGGTGTGAACGTGCTTATTTTTACCATCTCCCAAAGCAATATGCATGGAGGCTATTGATTTCAGACTCGAAAGCCTTCAATACCTGGTTCACTTGGGTAAAATCATGGCTTTCCTCCAGTGACTCAGAGCTTTCCTGATGCTTTCTTTAATTTCGTCTAATTCAATAGCATTGAAATAAACAATAGCTGTAAAAATCGGGGAGAGATGGAAGAATCTTTAGAGCAAGGGGATTAATCTAAGACTTGGAGGAGAGAAGTCTTTTCACGAAGCTTTACAGTGTAAGTTGGCGTTTTCAATAACCAGTCAGGAATGTTGCTTTTGTGTTAATAGCAACAAAATCGGTACATAAGCAAGCTGACATTTAATAACGTATGCTGCAGAAGTACTTTTGAGTAATTGGAATTGGGTTCCCATCACGTTAGTCGTTGTGCAAAATATTAATTCCTGCCCTTGAGATCTTTGTGTAGACGTTTTGTATAGACAAGACAAAAACAAGGTGGTTGGAGCAGGCGTAAACAAGCAGAGTAGTAATGCAGTGGGGCAGGCGTATGTGTTTCCCAGCTGCTCTGCTTCCTGGTCTTGATTAAGTCTGCATTGACTTAATGGAAAGAGGTGAAGGCAAATTGCAGGGGAGCAGGAGGGAGGGGTGAGAGTAATGTTGCTGTCAGCTTGATGGAACAAGCTGGGGAGAAATCGCTGCTGTGGTGAAGAGCCGAGCTGTGGTCTTCCATCACAGTAGGAGGAAGGGAAGCGAGGGCCGGGCTAACTCAAGGGGCCAGCGACTTCTTTATGGTCTGAAATGCCTGTGCTGTGAGATGTGTTCCTTCTGTCCTCCGGACAGTGAGAGCTGTCTCCCGGCTTTGTTTACTCTTCAGTGCGCATTGTGGCAATAAAAATATTTGCGGTAAATAGAAAAACTAATCCTTTATGAGAAGCAGAGGCAGTGATTATACTACTTACAAGTTGTTCTTGTGTGTTTCCTGGTGTGATTAAAAGCAATTGCTTATTCCTGTGGACCCCCTGCAACCCTTTCTCCATTTCCTCACTCCCTCAAATTCGAAAAAAATAAATGTCTTCTCCTCTGCTCGTTTTGTAAGTGGTTTCTTTGTGACTAGGACATTCCTAAAGCACATACATTAACTGGTGGAGGTAGACCAACGTGATGTGTGTAAGGATGACAAAATTGAGTTCTCCCTGCTGTCTGCATCCCCGCCTAGCTCCGTTGTACCACCAGTGAACCACCCGTGCCTGTCTTCTGTAGGATGCGGAGACTTCCCTGGAGCATCTCTTCTTTAAGCGGGCTACGTCTGAATCACAACTGTCCCTCTTGTGGTGGCTGTGAATCATTATTGCCTTGCTAATGATGGAACACTGGTCTCCTGTGGTTTACCATAATAAGATGAGTCATTAAAATGTTACCTAATCGCTGCTGAAATGTCTTAAGGTAATTTTCTTATTTAACTTATTTATTCTGAGCGATGCTAATATTTATCATCTGTAATTTGCAATGTATCTAGTTAATACAGCATCACTCACTGACAGTGCAGATGCTGTGAATTGAGAGGAACACAGCCTGCCTGCTCTGAATGCACTGGACAGCCTAAGTCTATTTTATTTAACCAAAGAGGTAGCTATTCAGAGTACCCAGAATAACTAGTGTCATTTGCTTTTCTGTGGGTTTGTAGTAGCTTCTCTGTCTTTATGCAAATATGGCGTGCACCTACTTGGGTGGTGAAGTCCCAAGGTGAATAATTGGGACAGGAGGGTGAAGTTTGAGCTTTTATAATGCTCGGGGTGAGAAGAAGATTGTGAATCAAGGGATTAGGAAGCCTCAAACTAAGGATTTCAAGGTCTGCCTTCAGTAATAGTAATAATATAATATGCAGTATCTGAGAGATGACAAAATACCCACCACACATCCTTCTGACCCTTAATTTCCCCAAGAATGGGAAATGATGGATATTACACTGCTGGGTGCATTCAATCAGTGTTTGAAATTGGTTTGTGTGAGCTACCTTGAATGTGACTGACGTTCCTTGTTTGAATTGTGTGCTTGAGAAATGAGGCAAACAATACACAGGGAGCCTTCTCGAAGTTCTGCCATGCTTTGCTCTTGGTTTGACATAATTTTTCTGTGTCCTAGGCTTACTGTCATCCCAAAACTAGTGGGAAAGAGTGAGGTTTCAGGACAGATTTCACTGGTGTTGGAGAGCAAAGGTGATGAGTTAGTCTCCAAAGAGGAATTGAGTCCAGTTTTAAAGCTGCCTTGTGGAACAATTTTAGTGTAAGTACAATGAGATAATTAAATATCTCCAGCTGTGAAATGACTGAGAAGTACCTGGTTGGTCTATGGAAGGAAAGAGGCAATTTCAAACAGTCCCCTTGCAGTTGTCCAAAACGTGCTATAGGCAGCAGCACCAAGGATAGGCAGAGGGTCTTAATTAAAAAGCAATGAATCTCAGAGTACTGCAGCTTCCTTGTATTTCTCATGCTTGTACCTTAGGTTGTTGGGGGGAAGGCAGGACAAGGCATGTGGATAGCAAACAAACGTCTAGTCAGATAAGAGGGTTTTTGGAGATGTATGCATTTTGGAGGTGTTTGCAGTGGGAGTACCAATTCAGGTTCAGCTCCATCTCACAGCATAGGAGCGTGCTGTGGCTCTACTCAGGCAGTTTTGCTGCAGGGTAGAAAGGGCCTCGAAGTCATCGCTGTCGGCCTTCTGTGTGTTACGGGTACCCGAGCCTCTGGCAGAGAAAACACTAATCCTGGTACAGTTTTTCTGCTCTTCTTCAGCCTGCTTCCTGTAGATAAGCCTGAGCCCCTTGGAAGGAGGAGTTACAGGAACATAATTGGCCCAGGAGTGAGTGTGACAGTAAAGCAGTCTGCTATGTTGTTCTGCTTGCACTAGGCTAAATTACAATAAGAAATTAAATATAAGCCCCCAAACTTCCCTAAGAATGGGATATACCACTAGGGAGCTGTGGCTGTTCCATCTGGCTTTTCAAATTAATTCTAAAGCTGGAAAGCGGTTTGAGAGTGAGCAGCCTAGGGGCACAAACAACAAATTGCAAATTGAGAAGTGATATTTTAAGAATTTTGACTCTTGGGGGAAGGGAGTTACATGCTTGAGCCTTGCTAGAATAAATGAAAGCCTAGCTTTTCTCTTGATATTGGCGTTAAATTTTTGTTAGACACCATGTCGTTGGGTTGGGCATGTCAGAATTTTATCTGAGTTCATTGGTAGCTTTTTCTCATAATCCCAGCAATTTGACAACGAAATTATCTAGGTGGAAGAGAGAAGCTTTGGTTGGATTTCAAGGCACCCGGTCAGATTCCATGGTTTTGCACCATATGTGGAAGACAGCAAGCACTTGTTTCAGGCTTCTTAAGGTTAAAAAAATAAAGATTGGAGGCTGACTTTGGCATCTCTTTATAAAGCTTCTGTAAACTGATTCACCCAGAACAGTGAATAAAGTAAGGTGAGTATACCAGTGGAGGAAGTCATCAAGGTATCGTCAGTGCTTAATTTCCATGACAACTCTTACCACCTAGCCACTCAGCTGATATTAAGAAAAACCATTATGAAAAATAAGGAATTTAGTATTTTTGCTGTGTTTTTTTAGCCTTTCTTCTTCCCTTATCAAAGGACAGACAGTATCACACCCTTCCCCCGCCCCCTTCACTTTTTCTGGCTTAATGCATCTCCAGACTGTGCAAAGGGAACTCAAGCACGTGTAACAAGCTTGCCACTGTTCTTCTGTGGAGCCTGGAGCTAGAATTGATGGTAGGTAGCTAAACAGAATTGCAGACTATGGTTTGCTCCTAAGTGACTTAAATAAAAACAAAAAGACAAGAACAAACAAAGAAACCAACACTGATACTATAGTGCAAGGTATCAGCCATTTTGGGGGCTGGTATGTGAAATCAGCTGCTTTTCTACCGTATCAATTTCTGAACTGAAACCAGTGAGCTCTAAACTCCTGGCAAGATACTCAAAACGAAAGCCAGCTTGAAGCAAATCTAGAACAGAAACCAATGTGTAAGGCAGCATGGAGGTGCCACCCATGGCCCTGCACGTGGGATGCAATGTGTCTGTTTATAGGGCCATAAAAGCACCCACATCAGGATGCACTTTGCTATGGTGGGAGTGTATCTGCAACTCTGCCCTTTATATCATTCTTACGTGGACAGTACTTTGCCCTTGATATCATTTTTACATCGACAATACGAAGTTTCTGAAGTATATGAGAATATAAACTGAAGTTTAAACATCTCATGCTTACCTGAGGGGGCCAAGTGGGTGTCCAGCTACTCTGAGCTACCTGTTGAAGACAATAAACTGTTACGTTGAAGTTTCACAACCTTGCTTTTCAATGACTTACATAGCTGTTGCTGTTTTTTCTGCTAGTCAATTAACACAGCTCAGGCACAGCACTCGTCAGGGCACTAAGCCTCTGGGCGGGGAGCCCTCTGAGCACTGGCAAAACAGGCCATGGGCTCCTTTTGGCACTGACACGCGGTGTAACTCTGTGTATCACTGTTTTCATCGCAGAGGCCTCGGCTCAGCAACCTTTTTACCTCAGTGCATGCTTTGACAGATGCTTTAATGGGCAAGCTGTGGGGCAGCATATTGGTTGGGGAGGTGGCAATTTGGGGAGAGGGATCCAGAGGCTGAGGGGGGAAGCGGCACTGGAGCTGAGGCCTGCAGTGCACCAGGCCAGTTTCATGCCCGTGCGTTCAGTGATGCTGCGTTTTGTAGGCAAACGTCTTGTTGAACAAGTTTTCTCAAATAAATGCAGCCTACAGGGTAATGAAGAACTGTGGCTGATTTCTTCCTTTTTGAGACACTGCGTCGCTTAGGTTTTGTGATCCTCTTGTATAGATGAATCATCTTAATCTCAAATGTCTTCTGTAGAAGTGCTTGGGAGTTTCCCTAGCTGTAGTTTAGAGATCAGTGTGTGCTTTATACATGTCCTAAGCAGTGTTTTGCCATGGGAGAGGT